AATAGATATGGAGAGAGTGGACAGTCTTGTCTTGTCCCTGATTTTGGTGGAATTGCTTTGAGATTCTCTCCATTTAATTTGATTTTGTCTGTCAGTTTGCTGTGTACTACTTTTTATTATGTTTAGATATTTTCCTTCTATCCCTGATCTCTCCAAGACCTTTATCATGAAGGGGTGATCGATTTTGTCCAATGCTTTTTCAGCATCTAATGAGGTGATAATATGTTTTTTCTTTCAGTTTACTTATATGGTGGATTACATTGATAGATATTCGTATGATGAACCATCCCTGCAGCTCTGGGGTGAAGCTGACTTGATAATGATGGATGATTTTTTTGATGTGTTCTTGGATTCTACTTGATGTATTTTATTGAGTTTTTTTTTAATCTATGTTCATGAGTAAGATTAGTCTGTAATTCTCTTTCTTGGTTGAGTCTTTGTTAAGTTTGGTATCAGGTATCAGGTTTCTATCAGCCTCATAGAAAGAGTTTGGCAATGTTTCTTCTGTTTTATTTTGTGGAACACTTTGAGGTGTATAGGTATTAGCTCTTCTTGCAAGTTCTGGTAGAATTCTGCACTGAAACCATCCAGCCCTGGGCTTTTTTTGGTTGGGAGTTTTTGATGACTGCTTTTATTTTCTTACAGGTCATAGCTCTATTTAAATTGTTCACCTGGTCTTGATTTAATTTTGTTATGTGGTACCTGTCCAGAAAGTTGTCCATTTCTTTTACATTTTCTAATTTTGTGGAATAGATTTTTGTAGTAGGACCTAATGATTCTCTGAATTTCCTCAGTGTCTGCTGTTATTTCCCCCTTTTCATTTCTGATTTTGTTAATTTGGATGTTCTCACTCTGCCTTTTGATTAGTTTGGATAAGGGTTTGTCTGTCTTGTTGATTTTCTCAAAGGACGAGCTCTTTGTTTCATTGATTCTTTGCATTGTTTTCTTTGTTTCTATTTTACTGATTTCAGCCCCCAATTTGATTATTTTCTGTCATTTACTCTTCCCGGGTGAGTCTGCTTCTTTTTGTTCTAGAGTTTTCAGGTGTGCTGGTAAGTCACTAATGTGAGCTTTTTCCACTTTCTTTATGTAGGCACTTACTGCTATGAACTTTCCTCTTAGCACTGCTTTCATAGTGTCCCATAAATTTGGGTATGTTGTGCATTCATTTTCGTTGAATTCTAGGAAGTCTTTAATTTCTTTCTTTATTTCTTCCTTGACCCAGGCATGGTCAATTGAGCACTATTCAATTTCCATGAATTTGTAGGCTTTCTGCAATTAGTGTTGTTGTTAAATTCTAACTTTAAATGATGGTGATCCCATAAAATACAGGGGGTTATTCCAATTTTTTGTATCTGCTAAGGCTTACTTTCTTATCAAGTATGTGGTCAATTTTAGAGAAGGTTCCATGAGGTGCTGAGAAGAAGGTATATTCTTTAATGTTTGGGTGGAATGTTCTGTAGATGTCTGTTAAGTCCATTTGAATCATGACATCTGTTAGTTCTCTTATTTCTCTGTTAAGATTCTGTCTGGTTGACTTATCCATTGGGGAGAGTGGAGTGTTGAAGTCTCTTATTATTAAGTGTGTGGGGTTTGATGTGTGATTTAAGCTTTAGTAATGTTTCTTTTACATACGTGGGTGCTCTTATATTTGGGGCATGTATGCTCAGGATTGAGACTTCATTTTAATGGATTATTCTTGTGATGAATATGAAGTGTCCTTCTCCATTTCTTTCTTCTGATTAATTTTAGTTTGAAGTCTATTTTGTTAGATACTAGGATAGCTACACCCACTTGTTTCTTAGGTCTATGTGAATGGAAAATGTTTTCCCAACCCGTTACTCTGAGGTAATGTCTGTCTTTGAGGTTGAAGTATGGTTCTTGTATATGGCAGAAGGATGAATCCTGCTTTTGTATCCATTCTCATAGCCTGTATCATTTTATAGTTGAATTGAGTCCATTGACATTAAGAGATATTAAAGACCAGTGATTATTAATTCTTTTATTTTTTGGTGGTAGTGTTTGTGTGTTTCCCTTCTTTGGGGTCTGCTGGTGTGAGGTTATCCATTGCCTGTGTTTTTGTGGGTGCAGTTAGCTTCCTTGGGTATAGTTTTCTTTATAGTACTTTCTGTAGGGTTGGATTTGTGGATAGGTATTGTTTCAAGCTGGTTTTGTCATGAAATATCTTGTTTTCTCCATCGATGGCTATTGAAAGCTTTCCTGGGTATAGTAGTCTGGGCTTGTATCCGTGGTCTGTTAGTGTCTGCAGCACATCTGTCCAGGACCTTCTGGATTTCATGGTTTCCATTGAGAAGTCAGGTATAATTCTGATATGTCTATCTTTATATGTTACTTGATCTTTTTTCTTTATAACTCTTAATATTCTTTTTTTATTCTATATGTTTTGCATTTTGATTATTATATGATGAGGGAACTTGGTCTAGTATATTTGGTGTTCTGTAATTTTTTTGTATATTCATAGGGATATCCTTCTTTAGGTTGGGAAAGTTTTCTTTTATGATTTTGTTGAATATATTTTTTGTGCCTTTGAGTTGGAGTTCTTCTCCTTCTTCTATCCCTATTACTCTTAGGTTTGGTCTTTTTCATGGTGTCCCAGATTTTTTAGATATTTGGTGTTAAGAATTTGTTGGATTTTATGTTTTCTTTGACCAATGAATCTATTTTCCATAGTATTTTTAACACCTAAGATTCTTTCTTCTATCTCCTGTATTCTGTTGGTTATGCTTGTTTCTTTAGTTCCCATTCATTTTTTTAGATTTTCCTTAAACAGAATTCTCTCGGTTTGGGTTTTCTTTATTGCCTCTATTTCAGTCTTCAAGTCTTAAATTGTTTGCTTCACCTGTTTGATTGTTTTTTCTTGTTTTTTTTCTCAGGTTTCTTTGAGGAATTTATTGAGTTCTTCCAATTTTTTGTTTATCTCTCCATTTTTTTAAAAAAATATTTTTTTTATTAAGTATACAGTAGTCTGTCTGCCTGCATGCCTACATGCCAGAAGAGGGCACCATACCTCATTACAGATGGTTGTGAGCCACCATGCGGTTGCTGGGAATTGAACTCAGGACCTTTGGAAGAGCAGTCAGTGCTTTTAACCTCTGAGCCATTTCTCCAGCCCTCCATTTTCTTTTAAAAGGAATTTTTCATTTCTTCTTTAAAGATCTCCATAATCCTCATAAAATTATGTTTAAAACCGTTTTCTTAAGCTGGGCAATGGTGGTACACGCCTTTAATCCCAGCACTCAAGAGTCAAAGGTAGGTGGGTCTCTGTGAGTTCGAGACCAGCCTGGTCTACAAGAGCTAGTTCCAGGATAGGCTCCAAAGCTACAGAGAAATCCTGTCTCAAAAAAAATTGCTTTCTTCTTTTTCTGGGTTAGGATGATCAAGTCTTCCTGTTGTATGACCACTGGGTTCTGGTGTTCCCATGTTGGTTTTTAGATTGTTGAATGAATTCTTGTATTGGTGCCTACCCATCCCTTCCTCCAGTTGGTGCCAGCAGAGTTTTTGCCTCTTGGTCCAATCCTTGCAGTGGCTGTCTGTGTCCTTGGGAACTGTTCTTGGTCTGCTCTGTACTGTCGCTGTCTGTGTCTCAGGGAGCCACTGAGGTCTCTTGGTCCTCTCTCTCGGTCCTCTCTGTGTAGTTGCAGCTTGTGTTTCAGAGTTCCTCTGAGGTTGCAGGGGTGCGGGGTATATAGGAGGGTTTGGGGGTGAAGTGGGACTTGTAGCTTGCAGAGTCCAATAAATGGGCTGTGGGTGTTGGAGCAGCCTACCTGCAGGGAACTCACCCAAGTGGGTAGAGAAGCTGAGGCAGGTGGGGGAGGGGGTCCCAAGGTTTTGCCCTGTTATGGAGGGCCTAGAGAGTGGGGTGTCCTGCCGGGTTGGGTGGTCACTCACCTCTTGGTCCTCTCTGTGTAGTAGCAGGCTGTGTTTCTGGGTACAGAGCTTTTCAAACAGGTCTGAAGCTCAGTTGATTGACTGCTTGCCTGGTGTGCATGGAGTCCTGGGTTCGATCCTTTGCACCTTGGGGCTTTTTACCTTTCTTTCCTTCTGTATGCCCTACTTTTCCTGTTTCTTCTGTGTCTGCTGGCTGGTGAGGTTGGACTGCCTGGCCATAGGCATCTTCCTCTCCTCTCTCTATCTTTCCTTTTTTCTTCTCTGCAGCCTTGAATTTTTAATCTTCTTCCACATCTTCCTGCCTGATTTAAAGGTTCCTGGCCTGGAAGATTATCTTTGGATCCAGTGTATTCATAAGGCTTCCAACAGTGAAAGAGGAAATTGAGAGGTAGAAATGTTGGCAGATTGAGAGCCCAAACAGAGTGCTGGGGTAGCCAATTCTGAAGACGGAGGAGAGCCATGAGGCCAGAGTGCTGGCCTCAAATGCTGGAAAAGCTGGAGAATGGACTCCACCTTAGGAATTCCAGAGGAAGACTGTGTATTTTAGCCCAGTGAGCCCAACTTCTTGTTTCTAGACTCCAGGACTACAAGGTGACAGATTCATGCAGACTCAAGCCACTAAATGTGTGGCAATTTATTACAATGTTAAGGGGAGCCCACTAGAGATGACTGTTCAAACACAGTTTATAGTCAATTGAAAGTCTTTATTCCAGTCGGCTAAGACTACACTTAGTAGTCTGTAGCACTGAGTGTTCTAGAGCATGGGTTTTGAAAGGCAGAAATCATGTCCTAGCATCTCTGCTGGAAGGGAGATTTGCATAAGCAGGCAGTTTAAGAGAAGATCTGTTAGCTGGGGCATCTTGACCTTGGGTTCCCAGAAGGTCATTTTGGGTAATTTTCCATGGGATTCTCATCAAGGAGGTTAAATTTTATTTAAACTTGAGATGGCCTCAGCAAGAATACAAGATGGGGGAACTGTGATGCCCTGTCACCCTAGCAGAATTAATAAATAAGCAAGATCTCGTTAGGAGTTCTGCTTACCACAACCTGTACCGGATCTTGACCGATGCTTTCACACTTTCTTTATACAGATTAGAACTCCGTCTTCAACTGAGAATCCAGAGTGGAGCCCAGAACTAGGCTGAGCTGAATCGTTCAGACTGAGCTGCCCCCGAAAGCCAGAAGAGCTTGTCCACCTTGGCAGCATGTATCTGTTACAGGATACTCACCAGTAATTTTGTTAGCATCTTGCCTCGCCAGGGACAGAATGGCCCTCCTGGGGTGGTGTGACTGGTAGATGGGGTGGGGACTCCAGTATTGATACTTTTCTCTCTAAAAGGCAGAGACTTGGGGTTGAAGAGTAAGCAGACATGGGGGAGTGGGGGATGATTGTGGGGAGAGGGAGACATCATTTCTCATAAGGCGGTTACTCCTCAGTTTATCTAAAGCTCCAGTGTGTTGGATCTGGCAGCCTGTTGCAGCATTGGGTAGTCTAGCTGGAGAGGGAGCTTATGGAGAGGGAGTCTACCCGTCAGCATTCATCCCACCACTGCTGGTAGTGGGAAAGCCAAAGTTACATTTTAAATTTTAATTACTGTGCCTATCCATGGAACAAAAATGTCTCTGCTCTGCGAGACCCTTGCCCAAGGACAGAGAGTTCCTGAAATGTCCCAAGCTGTTGTTTATGGGAGATAACAAGATGCCTGCTTTCACTCTCCTTAACAAGTTTGTTTGAGCCAGCTCACTGGATATGCTGATCGCATGTGGGAGGGAGGTCCACAGGCAGGAAGTACGTCAGGATGTATGCTTGCCCCTGATTGGATATAGGCCGGAAGTAGATCAGGATGTATGCTTGCCCCTGATTGGATGTAGGCTGGAAGTAGATCAGGATGCATGCTTGCCCCTGATTGGATGTAGGCTGGAAGTAGATCAGGATGCATGCTTGCCCCTGGTTGGATGTAGGCTGGAAGTAGATCAGGATGCATGCTTGCCCCTGATTGGATGTAGGCTGGAAGTAGATCAGGATGTATGCTTGCCCCTGGTTGGATGTAGGCTGAAAGTAGATCAGAATGTATGCTTGCCCTTGGTTGGATGTAGGCTGGAAGTAGATCAGGATGTATGCTTGCCCCTGGTTGGACCTAGTAGGAAATACTTCAGCTGTTGCAAACCTTGATTCGGGGGCATCTTCTGGAAACCCAGAGATGAACCTGGCTAGAGCCCATCCACCTGGTCAGTATTTAATTAAAGCTTGCTTCAAATTTGGCTTTAGATTGTGGTAGTGGTCTTATTCTAGATGGCTTGATTAACAGCAGATAACCATCCATGTTTCCTTGCACCTAACGTGTAGAACTAGTCATCATTCCTATCAGTTCCTCATTCTCAAGACTCTAACATCCAGAAAACACAGCCCAGTATCTTTCATTTTATCACGTTATTCACCATATGTAAGTGAATCGGGTTCTTTTGTTATGAATATTCATTATTGTCTAATTTAGGTAATTTCATTAAAAGCTCACTGTAAAATCTCCTCTTTTGATTAATAAACTTATTTTTAGAAATACAATTTTATACATTGTGTTTACTAGGGTTGTTCCTTTGCGGAACTACAGCTCCCAGCGTTCCCCTGGATTACGGACACATTTCCCAGAAGCCTTTGCATTCCTCGTTAAAAGGCGAGGGTCGCTACCCCCCTTCCCCCTTTTCTCTTTTTCCCCCACCTCTCCTGTTGTGTCAGCACACCTGCACCTGCCGGCTGTTACCCCTCCCCCATTAAAAGTGCACCCAGGTGGGACCTCCGCGTGTCTGTGTTTTCTTCCCCGTGTACCGTCTTTACCCTCTAACCCGCAGACAAGAAAGCCAGTCAGAAATTAGGAACAACAACTAGTGTTTAAAAAATGTTTAAATCATGTGGCGGCTGATTAGAAAACAGTTTTTAGTTACTTGCTACGATGAAGCAGGTTTCTATGCATTCAAAGACTTATTCTGAAACAAATTTATTTAAGAATAAAGGTGAGTTGTCTGGCGGTGGTGGCAGAAGTCTTTAATCCCAGTACTTGGGAGGCAGAGGCAGGCGGATCTCTGTGAGTTCGAGGTCAGCCTGGGCCACAGAGATAGTTTCAGGACAGCCAGGGCTACACAGAGAAACCCTGCTTGGAAAACCAAAAATTAATAAAAATAAAGGTGACGTAATTCGGTAAGAACATAAATAATTGTTCTAGATACTACAGACACAGCGCAACCCAATCACGGTTTGCTAAAACTTGTATGGGCACCACGTGGCTACGGTAGCCGGGAAGGCAAAAGGCGAAGAGGAGTCCTAAGTACCATCTCGCTGAGCCCTAGAGAGGAGAAATGAGCAGGCCCGAGCCCCGGCGGCTCGGTTCCCATGGTGCTGCCGTAGCCGCTGAGCGCCGGCGCAGGCGCAGCTGACAGATCGGGCTCCCGGGGGCCGCCGTCGCGGAGCGGGGCTGCAGTGCGCAGGCGCAGACGAACGCGGCGGCGTGGTCCCCATGGCGCTGCAGTAGCGGTGCTGGTGCGTGGGAGCCGGGATGAGCGAGTCCGAGGCGGACCGCTGGGCGTGGCTGCTGGTGCTGAGCTTCGTGTTCGGGTGCAACGTGCTGCGGATCCTCCTGCCGTCGCTGTCCTCCTTTGTAAGTAGCAGCTGGGGGGTGGCGGATCCCGGGGCGCCCGGCCTTGCCCGTTGTGTGCTGCAAGGTTTCTACCTTCAGCGGCTCCTAGCTTCTAACCGGTCGTCAGGTTCCAATCAACTCCGCTTACTGCGCCCTGGAGGGTGGGGACTCCCTGAGCCACGCCTTCTGGCAGCAGGAAGCCTCAGATGGGACGCGCTGGTAACCCACTTCCACGCAGCAGTCCCGGGCATGCATCATTACAGGTGCCGGGTCCCCGAGCGGCAGATCCCTGGCTGCAGAGGGCCCTTCCCCCGCCCCATACCCTTATTGCTCAACTCGCGTTTCTTTTTGATTTTTATTTTTATGTCTATGTGTGTTTTATCTGCATGTATGTAAGTGCATCACACGTGTGCAGTGCCTTTGAGGCCAGAAGAGGGGGTTGGATCCCCTGGAACTGGAATCGCAGTTGTGGGTTCTGGGAACTGAACCCATGTCCTCTGCAAGAGCAGCTAGTGCTCTTAACCACTGGGTTATCTCTCCAGCCCCCCCAGTCTGTAGCTATTAAAGATTTATTTGTTGATTATTTTATGTGTGTGTTCTGAGTGTATGTATTTGTACCATGTGAATGCAGTTGCCTGTGGAGGCCAGAAGAGATTGCCACACTCTCTGGAACTGAGTTACAGATGGCATACGCTGCCACATGGGTGTTGGGAACCTAGGTCCTCAGCTAGAGCAGCAAGTGTGCTTAACTGCCAAGCCATTCCTCCAGCTTGTACCTGTGGCCTTGGAAAACATTCTTTGTAATACACCTGTGAACAAGAACGTTTACCTGAGTTTTGTGAGCTGGTCTAGCAAATCAGTGGAGCCCGAAGAAGGATCAGAGGAACTCTTAACTTGTAGGTGTGTGACTGGTGATTGGTTTGAGGCGGTGACTGTGGAAATTTACCGCGTCTGCAGGTTGGTGTGGAGAACACCTAGTTAGTGAGCCCACACGTTTGGGATCACAGCAGCCGTCTGTGTGTGGGCGGCGAAGGGAGAGACGGAAACTGGGTCTTCCTGGAGAAGCCTCTCTTCTTCGTCCCTGTAATCCGTTTGTTTGTTTCGGTGGTTAGAGCGAGAGCCTTACGTGTTGGGACAGCGACCCTTTGTGGGGTTCATTCTGGTTATTGTTGGGAACCCTGAACCTCCCAGATCCTGAATTTCTGGTAAACAAGTTGTAATGCTTGCAGCTGCTCTGAGCACGAGACCCTCAGGAGTTCCTGATGGCAGGGGAGTGGGTTCTGGTGCTTTTCGCTGGGGCGTGGCTATCAGTTAAGGATCCCTATATAAGCTGCCCCTGGACACAATAAAGGGGACATTCTTGTTTCAGGGATGACCCGTGTCTCTGTCTGTATGTCTTTGTGTGTTTCACTCTTCAGCCCGTTGCCAGGTTCACGAACTGTATAGTAGCGCATAGAGCACGGACGGGCGTGGTGCACTACAGGTTATGCGTGTTTTCCTCCTGGTTCCTTATGTAGTTTTATTTTTCATTCTCATGTAGTATGTGTGTGTTTTTGTGTGTATGGGCACATGTATGTATGTGTGTGTGGGCATGTATATATGTGTGTTTGGAGGCCTGAGGTTGATATCCGGGATAGTCCTCTGTCAGTTTTCTGTCTTATTCACTGAGGCAGGGTCTCTCCGTCAAACCCAGAGCACACTGATAGGGTAGTCTTACTAGCTAGCTTGCTGTGGGGATTCTGTCTCTATGTTCCAAGGTTGGAATTACAGAGGGGCTTCTACTATATCCACCTTTTAGGTGGCTTCCTCATGCGTGTACGGCAAGAGCTTTAACCACTGGGCCACCTCCCTGCCTTTGTGTGGCTCCTTCTCTTCCATCCTGTGTCTCGTGCCGTTTCATCACAGTGGAGCTAAGGAAACAGGTCAGTTGCTCAGGGAGGCCGTGTGTGGCTGTCCTAAGTGAGTTTGTCATGAGTTTCCAGTCGCAGGCAGATAGGGAAGAGATGCAGGTCCTGTTGTCATCTCAAGGCCTCCAGTATACCTTTGACAAGACTCGTCAGGAAGGATTGCCACTTTAGGTGTCCATGCCTGAGTGTTTACCTGGGTGTGTAGGGCGTCAGTGCTGAGAGGAGGCACCTGGACCTGACCTGGGCTGTCCCGCAGGCAGTGTGGCCTCTGCCTTGAATCCATGAGTCAAACCCTTTGGGAGTGACTCCCGGGATGGTTGCTGGGTGCAGAAAGATAATGTATGATTTAATATCGTAGTGGAGAACAGCCCATCTGAATTGGTGTTCAGAACAGGGGAGAGCACGGAGAGATCCCATTTGTTCTGTTGCTGGGTTTCCAGGGAGGGAGCTATTGGGAACACCCTGGTATGAGGCCAGCATACTGCTCCCCACAATGGTTAGAGCACCTCTATCCCCTGCCTCTGATTTGAATGACCAAGTGTAACAAATTGATGACAAGATGGTTGGGTGTTCAGAATGTAGCCTCCCTCCCTGCGATTTTGAGCGGTAACTTTGCTCATGGTCTTCCGGGCATCGGTGCAGTCAGGAGGGTGAGCACCCTCCGTGCTGCAGGGCGACTGCTGGGATGGGGATGCTGCCTGTGCTTGAGACTGTCCAAGTCATAAAGTAGGGTTCCAGCGTTGTCTTAAGGGGACATAGGACACTCCGTGCACATGCATGGGAGGCACACTGCTCGGATGCCCCCGAACTCACATGTACAGATTGGATAGGCTCTCTGAGATGCTTCCCAGGCCTGACACGGCAGACACGGGGCGAGTTCTGATGTTCAAGTGCCCAAGGGACTGCCCTGGCAGAAGTGGAGTGCAACCCTGAGAGCGGCAGTGTGCAGGTGCCTGTGTGGATTTCCTGACAGACCCTGCTTTCCTGGCAGGAGCACACCACACACACGCCTCACGTACGCCTCTGGGGCCCGGCTGGTGTTCACGATGTGTGTTCAGCAGTTTCTAAGTTACCCTTCACTTCTGCTCCAAGCCTGGGCCAGCTCCTTCCAGGACCTGTCTGGAGCATTTTCCTTAGGTATTCCGTTTCTATGGACCAGCCTCTTAGCAAGGTCATTGTTTGGGAGTTTTGGATTGATTGATGATTGATTGATTGAGACAGGGTTTCTCTGTGTAGCACTGGAAATCACTGTAGATGAGGCTGGTCTCGAGCTCAGGGATCTGCCTGCCTCTGCCAACCAAGTGCTGAGTTTAAAGGCATGCACCACCATAACTGGTTGGGACAGGATTTTGTGGCTTTCAAGTATTAGGATAGCATAGTAATCTAACAGGATCTACTTCTAGAGCCTTGACTGAGAGGTGTGTTCCTGGGGTGATGGCTGGAGTGTTTGGCTGACAGGGCCCTTGAGGGTGCACGAGTGGGGAACCAGCATCCCAGGAGGAGATTGGCCCAGCCCAAGGAGTTGCTGTAGATGATCTGGTACTAGTTGAGGACAGCAGACCTCTGGACTTTCTGTCTTTGGGTCGGGGCTCGTTTGTGAGTTGAGATGGGTGTTGGAGACACACCCATGCTGGTGACCTGGGTTGGTCCTGTTTGTGCCTGTGGAATTCCAGGGGGAGGAGCCAGGCTGTTTAATCCCTGCTACCGGCTTTCAGACTTGTCTGGCCCTCAGGGTTTGGCCCTTCACTGAGTAACTCCAAGTCAATTGCCCACAGGGTGGGAAGGAAGGCTAGCGTCTGTCCTTCATTTCTCTGGATGTCTCTACCACCTGAGTCATCTCGATAGAAATTTCACAAACTTACTTAGTGCCTCAAAGTCGCGGTTCTGTCTCCAGGGCATTTGTGAGTCTGGATCACCTAAAAGCTGGTTTTTCTTCTGAGATCGGCCCCAGTGTGCAGTTCCTGTTGGTCTGGAGGTGGCTACGTGCTCCTGGCTGGCCTCGAACAGCAGCTCCTGCTGCAGCTTCCCTAGCAATGGGGCTATGGGCATGCACCCCCAGGTCCAGCTTGCTCCTGTTTCCTGTTTAAGTAGCCTTTATAGAGCCCCTGATTTTCAACGGTAGCTCTGTGACCACCATTAAATGGTGTATGGGAGCTGGAGAGATGACTCATTGGTTAAGAGCATTGACTGCTCTTCCAGAATTGAGCCTGGGTTCAGTTCCTACCAACCACATGGCCGCTCACAACTGTCTGTAATTCTAGTTCCAGGGAACCTGACACCCATAGCAAAACAACAATGCACATAAAATAAAAATAAATAGAAAGAAATGGCAAAAAATGGTGTATGACCTTTAAAATTATTTATGTATGTATGGGTGTTTGGCCTGCATGTATGACGTTTTCTGTATATCACCTGCATGCTTGGTGCCCGTGGATTCAGAAGAGGGGGTTGGGTACCCTAGAACTGGAGTCACAAATGGTTGTGAGCCACCATATGGGTGCTGTAAACTCAGCCCTGATCCTCTATTTGAAAAAACAAAAAAGTGCTCTCAACCCCCGAGTGCTCTGCATTCTGCCTCGATGACTTTTAGAGACTTTGGTCCATCCCTGTTTTCCTCTCCAGGGTGGACCAGGCCGGACTAACGCTCCATTTGAGCATTGGATCGTGGGTAGCAAAGAGAGGCTGTTTTGCATACCTTTTCCATGCACCGGCCTCGGACATGACCCAGTAGTAAGCTCAGTGTACAGCCGCCAGGATGACTCAGTGCTGGCCCCAGCCTAAGGGCTCTGCTGTGTACCTGGACTGTATGTGCACACTGGAGTGAAGGGTTTGCTTCTGATTGTAAACTGTGGGGGCTCATGGGGCCTCACATGTGTACCTGGACTGTGTGTGCACACTGGAGTGAAGGGTTTGCTTCTGGCTGTAACTGCAGTTGCCCTATTGTGTGGCAAGCAGAGAGGTCCTCTGAGCCAGGGGTGACACTTGCTGTGGGCCAGGTACACTTCAGATACTTCCGCTTTTCATCTTTAAAAAACAGCTATTCTTAAAAAGTTTGGACAAAATGTCACATGCAGGAGTTAGTCCTACAGTTTAAAAAGAAGTTGTGTCCCCCGTTGTCCCCCGCCCCGCCCCGCCCCGCTGAACCCTTGAAGGTAAGCTTACAGCTCTTTGGTGAGTGAGCAGAGTTCTTGGCTGTAGGGCCAGTGACAAATGTGTCAAAGGCCTGCTTCAGTTTCTCATTAGATGAGGTTCTTTCCACTGTGACTGTGTTTGTGGTGATCACTGATGTCTCCAGTCTGGGGGCGGGGCTTCTGACTCTGGCAGGGGCTCTGCAGAGCCGCTGCTGTGTTTGGAGGGCTCCTGACAGTGTGCTGTTACTGCATCTGACTGGTATACACAGCCATTCCATTTGATGATGGGGCTGGCCTGACCTGTCCCTTTCTGCTCTGCACCGTCCCTGACAAGCTCTGATAGTTGGTGGGCGCCACCTGGTGGCCGCTGCTGTCCTGCTCTGCTTTGGCTGCAGGGGCTATTTCTGTTTCACATGACTCCCCAGTGTCTTCCTGCAGCCCCTAAACCGTGTAGTTGCTGGGCCTGTTTCGAAAGCCAGTCCTGGATTGGCTGGGTCTCGGTGAGCACACACAGGTCCCCTCTTCAGAGCTGAGGGAACCCACTCTTCTCTATGTGGAAGGACACTGATGCTGGCCTCCTCCCTGCCAGGTGTCTAGGGTGCTGCAGAAGGATGCAGAACAGGAGTCGCAGATGAGGGCGGAGATCCAGGACATGAAGCAGGAGCTGTCCACTGTCAACATGATGGATGAATTTGCCAGATATGCCAGGCTGGAAAGAAAGATCAACAAAATGACAGACAAGCTCAAAACTCACGGTACCCATCCTGCAGTCACTTGTAACCTGGCGTGAGGGCCGATCAGGGAGGGCCTTGGTGGGTGGGTTTGAGGTGTATGTGTCCTAGAGGGCCTACGGTGATGTGACCTGTTAGCTGTATGCAGGATCTCCGCAGTCACTTCTTCCTATTCACTGATAAACATTTGCTTTCTAGATCTAGAAATCATCGTAGATTTTTCTTCATCCTCTGTAGATTTTCATTTCCAGGTTTGATGCTTTGCTGAGGAAAGTCCAGATAAAGATCACACAGTTGTTGACGGAGGTTTCTGTCCTGCCTGGTCCCGCAGCCATTCAGTCCCAAAGAAACACACAGAGGCCTACATTAATCATAAACTGGTTGGCCTGTTAGCTCAGGCTTTCTTTCTTTCTTCCTTCCTTCCTTCCTTCCTTCCTTGCTTTTTAAATTCCTTAATTTTTTATTCCTGATACTACTATCACAATATACAGGGCAATACACCTGATGTAATGAAAAGAAAAAAAGAAAGACAGAGCTACAACAGATCAAAGACCTCAGGAATGCACATGTAATGACACCGCATTGCACTGATCAGGAATGCACATGTAATGACACCGCATTGCACTGATCAGGAATGCACATCTGATGACACTGCATTGCACTAATCAGGAATGCACATCTGATGACACTGCATTGCACTAATCAGGAACGCACATGTAATGACACCGCATTGCACTAATCAGGAACGCACATGTAATGACACCGCATTGCACTAATCAGGAACGCACATGTAATGACACCGCATTGCACTAATCAGGAATGCACATCTGATGACAGTGCATTGCACTAATCAGGAATGCACATCTGATGACACCGCATTGCACTAATCAGGAATGCACATCTGATGACACTGCATTGCACTAATCAGGAATGCACATCTGATGACAGTGCATTGCACTAATCAGGAATGCACATCTGATGACACTGCATTGCACTAATTGGTGGGTGCACTTTTTGCGAACGCTGGCTCTGACAGTCCTGAACAAGAAGGGCCTCCTGTTTAAGCTGCGATAACTTTTCTGACTATGGATCATCTCTCCTTCTGTGGTAGATTTTTACAGTTCCTCTAATGCATTTAGGACCACTGTCTCAAAGTAACCTGCAGCTTTCCTGACAGCTCCTTGCTCTCTCCTGCTAAGAACCATAGCCCCTTTCTGCTGTTTCTTTAAAACCTTCTGCTTCCATATCCACCACTTCCACCACCATAGGGACTGTCAGCTCAGGCTTCTTATTAACTAAACCTTACATCCTACATTAACCCATAATTCTTGTCTGCATTAGCCATGTAGCTTGGTACCTTTATCAGTGAGGCATTCTCATCTTGCTTCCTTTGAGTCTGGGTGATGACTGCAGACTGAGCCCTCCCAGAATTCTTCTGTTCTGATCACCCTGCCTATACTTCCTGCCTGGCTTCTGGCCAATCAGCATTTTATTAAATCAGTACAAGTGACAAAGCTTTACAGGGTACAAGCCCATTGTCCCACAGCACACAGTAGGTCCCCAGGGTACTTTGTCTCACTCTCAGGAGCATGCCTACAGCATACAGATGTCAGGGAGCAGTGCACACTTGAGTCCCAGTGCTCTGAGGCAGAGTCATGCAGGTCTCTTTGAATTCAAGGCCAGCCTGGTCTACATGGTGAGTTTCAAGCTAGCCAGGGCTCCACGGTGACACACACACACACACACACACACACACACACACACACACATTCTTTGTCTTTCTCGTCTCTCTCTCTCTCTCTCACACACACAGGCACACTCTTTCTCGTCTCTCTCACACATACACACGCATGTGCATACACACGTGTCTCTAGAGAGCAGTGTGCCGTGAGAGGCCCTGCTGGACCGTGTAAGGTGGAGTAGGTTGCACTCTGTGGAGCACACAGGGGCCTGTGCAGGCCTGGGAGAGCTGAACTCCTGCTGGAGATCCAGGGATGGTGCAGGTTAGAGAATGGAGATGATGTTTCGTCCTGTTGGCCTGTGGCAAGCGCGTCAGGAAGAGTGCAGGGATTCCAGGATGCGGTCTGAGATAGCATAACAGTACCACCTTTCAAATTTCCTGAGTTAGTATACAGGCTGAGGAGTTTCATCATGGCTGTTTGAGATTTCTAAGTATATTGTTTAATTTATAATTAGAAGGTGTTTTGTAAGGGAAAATGACATTTCTGTGTATTTGGGTATTTTCTCAACTTTGCAGGATTGGTTCATGTTTCACCTCTTTTCCTTTCAGTGAAAGCACGGACAGCGCAGTTGGCCAAGATCAAGTGGTTTATAAGTGTCGCCTTTTACATACTGCAGGTAAGTGCGGTGTCGGCCGGCTCTGGACAGCTGTTTGTTTCCTCGGTCTGCTGTGTACGTGTGCATGTGTGTAGGTGTTTTTCCTCGTGCTCATGCACCTGTGTGTGATATGCACGGAGGCCGGAGGTGGATGCTGGGTGTCTTCCTTGACTGCACTACTCTCCAGTGAGAGAGGCAGATTCTCTCACTGTCTTCATCTCCTGAGCTCTGAAATGGAGACAGGATGCTTTTCTCTCCTGCATCTGTGTGGGTGCTGGGAATCGAAACTGCATGGCGAGCTCTTTACCCACTGAGCCATTTGTGAATGTCTGAGAATGAAACAACAGCATCTCTGTTGGAAACCCAGGTCCTTAGAGCTGGTTCACCTTGCCCTATCCTAGAAGCCCCTTGTTCCCTGCTTCTTTTCTTTTTTATTCATTTTTTATGAGTATGAGTGTTTTTCCTGCATCTGTGTCTGTACACTGTGTGTGTGCCTGGTGTCCTTGGAGGTCAGAAGAGGGTATCAGATCCCCTGGGACTAGACTTAGAGACAGTTGTGGGTACTGGGAATTGAACCTGGGTCCTCTGGAAGAGCGGGCGGTGCTCTTAAATGCTGAGCCATCGCTAGCCCACCAACCGGTTTTTCTCCTTCCTTGGCCCCTGGCGTTCTTACCTTCTGGGGGATTGGCGGTGCTGCTGATGCGTAGCTGCGACTGCACAGCTGGCCGGCATGTGGGCGACCTGGGACTTAGTGCGGGCCACCTGGGTGTGTGGGTCTTTCCTGAGCTACAACACCCATGCCAGCTCCCCTAGAGACGAAGCTTGGAGAAAGGCTGAAGAGACGTGCCTCGAGACACTCTTATTTGATAAGTTTGTGCTCCGTGGAGGGCCAGGCCTCTGGCAGGCACCCTCTTCAGTCTGCTTGTTTGAGCAGAGAGTTTGGGGCAACAGAAGCTGCTTCTGGGAAAGGGCAGGAAATGAAACATTAGTTTTCACCAGCTTGAAACTGATGGGGGCGCCAAAGGGAGCACCTCTGCTGTGTAGGGAGGACTGTGCTTATTAGGGTCTTAGAGTCACGAGTGCTTTTACATTTGGCATGTAGTTCAGCTACTCAGGATAGACATTGTGGGAGGACTCAGCTAATTTAAATAGTGACTGTATGACTTCTGTGTTAAAGGATAAAATGCCAGTTCCTACGAGAAGGCCCACCCTGTCACCAGTATATGATATTTGTCTCAAGTCGTGTGTGTGTGTGTGTGTGTGTGTGTGTGTGTACTGCGAGGACTGACGGGTGTGAAGCCTCTACCCACATCTTCCTTCAGGCAGCGTTGATGATCTCGCTCATCTGGAAGTATTACTCCGTCCCTGTGGCTGTGGTGCCCAGCAAGTGGATCACCCCGCTAGACCGCCTGGTGGCCTTTCCTACTCGAGTGGCAGGTAGGCAGTAGAGGTGTGCGGTGGGAGATCAGGCCACCTGTCTTTGTCCTCGTTGTCCCCTTCGCAAGCCTCCCTTCCTGCCTCAGCCGCATGGGGGTCCCTCTGAATGCTCAGGAGTGAGTTACAGCCCAGGCTCTCAGGGGTCACCTCCTCCCCCCTTGGCTGCGGCACTGAGCAGCTTGCTGCTGTTGGCTCTCGCTTCTGGATGTTAAAGGTCGTTTGTGTCATTGAAGAATGAGCAGACACACAGGAATATGTGTCATTGAAGAATGAGCAGACACACAGGAATAAGTTTTCAGGTTGGAGGGGTGGCCCCGGTTGGCCTGGAGCTCTGCTGCAGACCAGGCTGGCCTCGAGCTCACAGAGACTTGTTTGCTTCTGCCTCCCCAGTGCTTCTGGGATTAAAGGTGTGCTCCTCCATGCTCTGGCAACATGGGAACAATTTTTTAAAAATAATGCCAGTTAAAAAAAAAAAAGCCAGGTGGTGGCGCACACCTTTAATCCCAGTATTTGGGGAGGCAGAGGTAGGCAGATCTCTGAGTTCAAGGCCAGCCTGGTCTACAGAGTGAGTTCCAGGACAGCCAGGGCTGTTACACACAAAAAACCCCTGTCTTGAAAAACCAAACCAAAGCACCCCCCCCCCCACACATGTCAGTTGCCTTGTGTAAATTTTTAGTCTGTTTGGCATTCAGTTAACAGGCATGAGGAGCTCTGTGAGTTCAAGGTCTGCTTGGTCTACACGCAGGGAGTTTCAGACCAGGTAGGGCTACTTAGAAAAATGGGGGCAAAAAAATTCCTGCCAGTTACAGATAAGCCGAGCTGTGGTCTGTGTCTTCCAGTGTGTCTTTGCCGTCTGTCTTAAGATGGTCAAGGCCACCTGGCTTAACTCATTCTGTATCCTTTTCACTTTCTTGTGTGTCTCATATGTTCAGCCTGCTATAGTAAAATATACAGTGGGTACTTGTAGGCTGAGTTTCCCTGTTCTGACTGCTGGCCCCAAAATAAACACACCGAGTCTTAATATTCCTTATAGATGCTCAGTCGATAGCTCAGGCTTATTACCAACCAGCCCTTTTCTGTTAATCTGTGTGCCGCCCTGAGGCTTGTGGCTTTTACTTCTAGCCCACTTTGTGTGTCTGACTTGTTCTCTGACTCTGCCTTCCTCATCCCAGTATCCTTAGTTTGGTTGCCTTGTCTTTACTTTCTGCCTGGCTGCCAGCCAATCGGCTTTTTGTTAACAACAATAGCAATATATATTTCCAGTGTGTAAAGATTTTTCCACAGCAGGTAATTTAAACAGATCTGCTTCCTGATGGCTAGAGTCCAAGGTGAAGGTGCCATGGATTGGTAGCATTAGGACCCATTTTGTGTTTCACAAATGGCCCCCTGTCAAGGGTCCTTGGATAGGAGGAGGAGATGGTAGGCTGTGCTGTGTAAGCTTCTTCCTAAGGCGACCCCACAGCCCTGCCTAATACTGTCCCCAGGGTCAGGACTGACGCATATGAATTAGGGGGCAGACATTGCAGGGCACAGCACTCTGTCAGGAAATTTCTTTGCCAAAGAATTTTCTTGTTATTTGAATTTTTCTGTTAGTACACTTTCTCGGGTCCTGATTTTTGGTAATTGAGGTGATACTGCTGGATGTGGTGGCTTATGCCTGCAGTCCCAGCCTTTGGGAGGCTGAAGCAGGTGGATTGCTGCAAGTTCAAGGCCATCATGGATTACAGTGTAAGAGCCTGTAAAAAGCAAAGTGTAGATTCTTGCCAGTCACGGCTTCTGATGTGTGGTCATACTGTAGAAAAATACATCATTGAAAGGAAGCGGTTTCAAGGACCTTCATTTTGTCTGTGCTCCCCTCCCCAACACTGCTGGGCTCAGGTCGAGGGAGCAGCAGGCCACCCTTGCTGGCACTGCCGAGCTGTTGGCCTTGTAACCTGGGGATGGAGGATAAGGATGTCTTTACTTTAGGTCTGAGAACACATAACTATGTGTACAGTGCTTTTTTGCTGTTGTTGATATTTTAAAGACAGGGTTTCTCTGTGTAGCCCTGGCTGTCTTGGAACTTGCTCTGTAGACTAGATGGCTCTAACTGAGAGATTCACCTGCGTCTGCCTCCCGACTGCTGGGATTAAAGGTGTGCGCCACCAGCCCCTCCCCCAGCTTTCTCATACTTTTTTGAGAAGTGTAAAATAGTGGTCAGGGTGTTGTTATAGCCTATTGATATACCAGGGACATCTCTGGCAGGAAAGGGACCTAAGGCAGTGCCCATTGTTCAGCTTGGTACACAGTGTGTCTGTCTGTGACCTGTAGTCTGATGAGCCCCCTCTCTTACCCCTCAACACTTGGAATTGGCATCTTCCTCCTGTAGGTGTTGCCACTGTATCCTCTGACACGAGTTTCTTTCTTTTTAGGTGGAATTGGAATCACCTGTTGGATTTTAGTCTGTAACAAAGTTGTGGCTATTGTACTCCACCCTTTCAGCTGAGCGGAGGATGTGCAGCCACAGAACTTTACCAGGAGGATATCGACGACCACACAGAGCCCACAGGCTCTTGTTTTTGTGTTTTGGAATGTTTTTGTCTGTCACCCGGGAGTCTTGTTCAAGTCAGGGTTTTCTACAGTTGTCACTGAGCCAGAAAAAGAGCGGTGTGACAGTTAGTGTATTGACGTAGTTCTGGACCCGCTGGGCTGTGAACGTCAAGTGGCATTTGCATGCTGGGGCTCGCTCTGCATGGTTGGCTTTGTTGCCAGCTGCAAAGACTTTCCTAACAACTCCAATAGTGCCAGGTTTTTTATTTGTTGTTTTTTTTTTTTTTTTTTGTTTTTGTTTTTTTTTTGCACCACAAACAAAAACACTTTAGTGTTCTAGAAGACATGGAAATGATGTCCACTTCAGTGGTTTCTGCAGACACGACCTATGGTCCTGGGAGGGTGAGATCAGTCCGTGGGCACAGGTGCTGTTGCTGAGGTTCCTCCTCAGGGCACCTGCAGGTTGTGCTCCGCCCTTACACGATGCCACCACATCTGGGTCCCGACACAACACACATGGTGCAAGGGAAAACCAAGTCCACAGCTGTCTTCTCTCTGGCCTTCACACTTGAGGTGTTGTCTTTAGTCCTGTACATTTGGGATCCCTTGGAAGAGACTTAGAGTTGTGGGTTTGGGATGGTGTCAGTATCGTGCACCGCCCATACCCTCGGCCGCTCTGATTCTGTACACGCTGGCTACGCAGAGTGATGACTTCATGTCAGTTTGAAGAACTCATTTCTCACAGCAGACATTATGGGAGATGACAAATCAGAATGTTTCTGTGTTAATGTGCATTCAGCCTTGTGTGATATTGGCAGCTGGCAAACTGTTCTGTGTGCGCTCCGCTCCGTGGACGCGTCCTATCTGAATGTCTTCCCAGGTGCGTCTTATGCAATGCTCTCAGACTGAACCCCAGATCACCCCAGACCTTCTCTGGAATGATACATAGAAATCTTTTTGGAAATTTGTCTAGTTGTCAGAGTTCTGCATTTTGAGGTTTTTTTTGAGCAAGATCTAGGTAAATATTTTCTAACTACACCTTACAAAATCTCAAAAGAATTAAAGTTTATGGCACTTGCTCAAATATTACATCTAAGTCCTGTTTTTCTGATATAAAATTAGTTTCTTATATTTCTTATTTTTATTACATTGTGTCCCACAGTGTGTTTGGGAGTCAGAGTTCAGCTTTCAGGAGGTAGTTATTTTAGTTAATTTTAAAGACTTTTTCAGATTGTTCAGTGAATCAATAAATTATTATGAAAAAATTTCTTAAATTCTTAATGACTGGAACTATTGCTGGACCTCACAGCTAAAGTGCATACACTTTGAGATCACATAAGACTTCAGGCTGCGTTGTACTCAGCTTGTTTAACCAGCTCTGATACAGCAGCGGAACCACGGCTTTAATTGTGCTGAATTTCCCGTGTAATTGGCTCTCACGAGCTAAGAGTGCACAGTTGTGAATTTCCCGTGTAATCGGCTCTCACGAGCCAAGAGTGCACAGTTGTAGTCCACAGTCTGTCTGTGCATCTGGTGCTCTGTTAACACATTTTCGAAGTGGCAAGGAAAATATTTAACTGCCAACGTCAAAACCACACACACAAAAGATTAAGTTATAACAAATACAATAATAATGTACCTCGTGGAAGTTTTCTGCTTCTCGCTCTTTAATTTCAAGGTCAGTTGCTCTCCTCTTTGCTCCCTCTTCTGTCTTTTTCTGTATTTCTTTTCCAGACAACTGCAGTTTTTTTCAAACTTGTTTTTTAGATTTTTAGCTTGAATAGACCCTCTTTTTCATTTGATTAGTTCTTCATATCCTCTACTCAGTCCAAAAGTTTTGTTTTCTTCTTCCTCCTCTCCCGTTCCTTGTCTCAGTTCTCAAATCCGTTTCTCCATTTCTAGTTTATGCTTCCGTTCCTTCTCTGTTTATCGTTTTTCTTCTTCCATTTTTTGTTTTAATAATTCTTCAAAATTAATTTCCAGTTTTCCAGGCATCAGAGATTCTTGAGAAACTGTTTTATATATCTCTGGGGAATCATCTAATACCGTGCTTCTTCTTACTTCCCAAATGCCTTCCTCTCTTCCTCTGTTCTCCGGGCCTCCTCCTCGGCTTTTCTCTCCTCACCTTCTCTCCTTTGCCTTTCTATTCTTCAAACCTGAGCTTGAGTTTTCCAGAGTGGTCCTCTGTAAAAACTTTTGCTGTGTCTTGGTTTTCATCCTCATTCTCCTCATTTACCTGCTCAGCTTTTTGCTAATTCGCGCTGTATTTTTCTCTTTTCCAGCAGATCCTATCTTTCCTCTTTGTTCTCTTTCTTTGCTTTTCCTGTCTGAGTCTTTCCATTCCATCAGATGTATCTTTAAACGTCCCTGCTAACTTTGGGACATGAGCCTTTTCTACTGTAACAGAAATCTCTTCCTCGTCATCAGAAGCAAGAATTTCTTTAATCTCTGCCTTTTGCGAAACGTCATTCACGTTTGCTCTATGTGGTTTGGGGCAGAAGCTTTGTATATTTTTGTATTCAGTAGAGGAGGCTATAAGCATCAGACAGAATGAGGTTGCATGACCACATTCCTCTAAATTCGTCCTTTTGTTTCCTGTAATTTGACTCTTAAGGATGAACACACTTTGAGAGGGACACCGTCACTGAAGAAAGTCAGAGCGGGAGCTCGAGCTGGCCAGGTACGCACCGTCCAGTGGTGCCGTTTTTAATTTTAGAAAAAAACCCACATACATTTTTTTTTTAAAGAAAAAAATACCTCTGCAAGAATTCTGCTTTTTATTTCTTGAAGTTCACCTGAGAATGACACTAGTGGGTGTTGCTCCTGCTTATCCTCCTCTGTGAAATGTCGTCTGTTGGACCAGGTTCAGCGTAAAACCGTGTGAAAGCATCGCCATGTATCTGAGCCTGCTAACTTTTCATAGTGGTTCCTGTGTGTGTTCACGAGACCATGTTATGTGTTCATTTAAAGCATTTCAAATGAAGTGTGTCTTTAAAGTGGAACAGTGAAGCAAGCTGGGGTCTGATCAGTTTGGCTCATGAAGTTACAAGACAGTTCTGCCAAGTCTCAGTGTTTATCTTTCGTTTTTTTGAGACATAGTCTCTCAATGCTGTTCTCAATGTAGTCCTGGCTGTTCTGGAACTCTCTCCATAGACCAGGCTGGCCTTGAATCCACAGAGGTCCACCAGCCTCTGTCTCCCAAATACTGGGATTAAAGGTGTTTGCTGCTTCACCTGGCTCCAAGTCTGTTTTTGAAGTACTTTTCCTAGTTACAGTATTGGCCAGTGCTAATAGCCTAGACTCTGGGGAGCCATAGCACAGAAAAGCTACAAGCTGGCACCATCACAATCTCTGCACAGCTCTGGCTGTCCTGGCACTCACTACGTAGACCAGGCTCACTTGGAACTTACAGGGATTCACTTGCCTCTGTCTCCTAGCTGCTGGGATTAAAGGCATAGCACTGGGTTTTGAAGGATCATATTTATATTCTTATGTTTCCTAGTGATCTCATAAACAGCTTGTTCTTTTGGCTGACTGTACTGTGAATAGGGCGAGTGTCAGATGGAGCACCACCCGATCAGCAGACGCTGTAGACTTACACTGCACCAGGGTGACTAGGCAGGGTGTATAAAGGGCACAAGTGGTGTGCAGCAGTAGGCATTGCCAACATTGGCCTGCCCATCCGCTCCAGCATCCCCACCCCTCAGCAAACACTTGGTCAGTTGAGGATCTGAGGAGGTTGGAACGGCACTGGAAGCTGCACAGTCTGGGCTCGCTTCAGGAGCTCGGCACTCAGGGTGGGGGAGGGTGTGCTTGCACCTGGTCCTTTTGTAGTGAGCTGTGATCTGGAATGGTGCTTACTGCCAACCAGACCTGGGCCTCTCAAGGGATGTGTGATGTCCGCTGACTGCAGGAAAACAGTGACAAAGGGTTAGTTTGTTCCCAGATGTTAGTGCTCCACACGCATAATGTAAGACTGCTTGTGTCCCCGTGTATAATGTGTGTAAGATTGCTCATGTCCCCATGTATAATGTGTATAAGATTGCTCATGTCCCCGTGTATAATGTGTGTAAGGCTGAGTGGGGGATATCACTGTGTCTCTCCCCCCAGAATTGTATTTGTTTAAAAATGGGTAATAAACATTGAATTAACCAGGGAAAGGTGCAGCAGAAAGTGTCTCTGTCCCTCTGCCCTGTCCTAGGGTTCTCTAAGATGGTCCATGTTTATGAATGTTGCTGTGTATGCACTTAAAAAACGATGAAAGGAAAAAACCTGAAAAACCAAAATTAATTTTTTTTTAAATTTTAATTTTTTTGAGGCAGGGACCCTGTGCAACCCTGGCTGGCCTGGAACCCACCATGAAGACCAGGCTGGCCCCTCTGCCTCCTGAGTGTTGAGATGTGGGCGAGAGCAGCCACAGGCGGCAGCAGCATCACCCCTCAGCAGGCACTGAGCCATTGGTGCTAATATACACTAGTGTATAAACATCTGGAGACAGTGTGGCCAATTCCAGATACGGAATTGTTGCTCCTACAGCTAAATGAAGGCGAGTTACACAGTGTAGGCTGGGAATCCAGACCCTTTATAGCTCCAACAAAAGCTCTTAGACCTGAGCAGCTAGCTCGAGCATACAGTTGTTTTAGGACAAGGTTAAGAGAAGAGACCATTATGTAACAAAAGAGTAATTTATCTCAACAACAACAAAAAACACAGCCTCCTATACAGGCACAGATTGGCTCCCAAAGGCAGGGCACGCAGACTGCTCCCCTGAGCAGGAGACCACCGGCAATGACCGTGAGGCAGAGCGTGAATCTCTGTACTGTCTGTCTGAGTCTGGTGCCTCTTCCCTGACGTTTCGACAGTAGTCCTGCTGTAGAGTTTGTATGCCTTAGGCTGAACAAGAGTCGCCGTGAGTCCCACATCTCCAAGCTCTGTAATAAACCAGGTCTGCCTGAAGAGGGGACATTCTGCCTTCATAGTAAAGGTGTAAGTTTGTATCTAAAATGTTACCATTGATCAAGGTACAGTGGATTATTTTATTAGATAGCAATAAATTAGCCGCAGTCCACCCAAGTACTAAAACAGATACTATGTAAACCCTCACATGGTAAGTAAGATTAAAGGCATGTAACTAGTATATAAACCAGAATGTATTAGGCCTCTGTTGCATTTAAATAACCGTTTTCCTGTTTCCTTTGGCGGGTGAGGCCTGGATGGACCGCACCACGTTGGCTCTGGAGTCCCCGAAGGCATTGCTGGCAGAGGCCTGGCTGGGTCCGAGCTGCTGGGCCTTGCCAGCCACCTCGCCATTGGTGGGGCCACTCCTGCCCGCGAAGCCTGCACCGAAGAGCTCCTCCATGAGGCTGCTCTTCTTGTCCCGGAAGGCTGTGTCCTTGGCTTTGACCCTGGTGGCCTTGCCGAAGGAGGGCTCGTAGCTGGCAGGCTCCAGCCGCAAGTCCTGGTCGCTGCGGTGCTTGCCCATGCTGTGGCGGCAGCGTGGGCTGCCCGAGGCCTGCCCACAGGATGTGGGCAGCCCGTGGTGCAGGTTCTCAGTGGCCTCGGTGAAGGAGTAGTGCTTCCTTGGCCGAGGGGTCTTGTTCGGGGCTGGCCCAGGCTCCACATCATCGGCCGCTCCCACCTGGGCCACCTCAGCCATCGCAGCCACTTCCCTGGCTGGAACCTCGCCCTCCGTGTCTGCAGGGGTCACACTTTCCCTTGCAATTGGCTCTACTTCTGGTGGGATGACTTTCTTTTCTTGATCTTCCCTTTTCTCTTCTTGCTTCCTAAGAGTTTCCAGAGAGGCTTGTGGTTTTGGGTGTTCAACCTCCTTTGATAAATCTGCATTAGAAAGATTAAGACTAAGTGCCCTCAAACAAGAAATAGATTTTAGAAGCACCCCCCTCCCCATGGTGCAGTGGCTAAGGGAACAAGCTTGCCTGTGGGGCCGAGGCAAGAGTTGGGCCTGAGCGTTGGTGGTGGGCCAGTCTAGGCTAATGCGTAGCTAGCTTTGTTCAGTCAGAGCCCTGCCTTGAAGCAATGAGGCCGAGAGTAGTGGAGGAAGAAGACATGGTGGCCTGCCCGGTTCTCAAACGATGTATTTGGGGCTGAGAGTGTAACTCGGTAATAGAACACTTACTTAGCATGCCTAAGGTGCCTGCCAGGTTTGATGCCCCAGCTCCATAAAACCAACGAGAGAGAGAGAGGGGGGGGGCGATGGCGTGTTAGCACACCTCCCGAGACTTCAGACATGTCACTGAAATGGTACAGGAGGTGAATATACACAGGGCACTAACACACAGAAGGGGTCATTGTTAATAAGCTTTCCTAGACTGTTCTAAATAAATGGGAATTAGGAAAAGAAGAAAAATATTTATGCACAAATACTAAGAAAAATCTTCTCTTGATGGTACTCATCAAACAGGAACCATTTCTGTCAGACACTGAGGGAATGGCCCCGTGATAGCTGTGTAGGCAGTTTCTAGTGGCCCAGCACTTTCATCTCTAGGAAACCCCACGCAAAAGGAGGCTGCAGGGCTGTGCAGACAGCAAGCACGCTTTAGTGTCGTCCAACTCTGTAAATGTGCAGGGGAAGGGAGTTAAGGGCAGTGTGCTGCTGTGGGATTCTGGGTAACTGTGGGCAAGTGGCCTTATGGGAATGACGATTCTACACTAGAACAGGAGCTCAGGGTATTTTGTATTTGTTCCTGCTGCTGCTGGGGTGTGTGTGTGTGTGTGTGTGTGTGTGTGTGTGTGTGTATACGTGTGTGTGCACACACCTAGAACCATGCCTCACCATCGTATATGCTCAAATAGAATTTGTCAAATGAACAGATTTTCCAAGTGGATTAAAAATAAGTGGAAAGGGCTGGAGAGATGGCTCAGTGTAAGAGTACCGGCAACTCTTCCAGAGGACCTGGGTTTAATACCTGGCACCCAAATGGCAGCTCACAACTGTCTGTAACTCTGATTCCCGGGAGGGCCGTCATACTAGGCAAGCGTGTGGTGCACATATCTCTGCATCAGGCAAAATACCCATATACCTAAAATCTTTTTAAAAAAAGATTTATCATGTATACAATATTCTGCCTTCATGTATGCTTGCAGGCCAGAAGAGGGCTCCAAGTCTCATCATAGATGGTTGGTTTTTTTTTTTAATATTTATTTATTTATTATGTATACAATATTCTCTCTCTGTGTGTATGCCTAAAGGCCAGAAGAGGGCGCCAGACCTCTTTACAGATGGTTGTGAGCCACCATGTGGTTGCTGGGAATTGAACTCAGAACCTCTGGAAGAGCAGCCAGTGCTCTTAACCTCTAAGCCATCTCTCCAACCCCATACAATACATCTTAAAAAGTGGAAAAATTAAGTGACTACTGAGCCTGGGAAATGCAGCTGCCAAAGTGGTTACCTAAACATCAGTATGGCCCTTCAGGTCCTCCCCCAGCTCTGCCCTCAGGCCTGAGGAAATGTGTGGACTCTGGGCTTGCTCACCTCCCACTTAGCCTTGACAGGTTCCCCCGGCTCAGCTGTCAGCAGTGATGAAATACAAAACCACTGTCTTCAACATTATGAGGGAAAAGTTTGCCGATGTGGGATTCGCCTGGATGCTGTGAATGTGTTTATACTGTTGGTTTATAAAGAAGCTGCTTTGGCCTATGGCAGGGCAGAATAGAGCTAGGTGGGAAAACTAAACTGAATGCTGGGAGAAAGAAGATGGAGTCAGAGAGATGCCATGTAGCTGCCAGAACCTTACTGGTAAACCATGAGCCTCATGGTAAAATATAAAATAATAGAAATGGGTTATTTAAAATGTAAGAACTAGCTAGATTCAACGCAATGCCTATCAAAATCCCAGCAAAATTCTTCAAAAAAAAAAAAAGGTACTCAACTTCATATGGAAAAGCAAAAATCCCAGGATAGCCAAAACAATCCTGTATAATAAAAAAAAAAAAATTCTGGAAGCATCACAATTCCTGACTTCAAACTCTACTACAGAGCTACAGTACTGAAAACAGCCTGGTACTGGAATAAGAACAGACAGGAGGACCAATGGAACTGAGTAGAAGACCCAACTATCAATCCACACATCTTCGAACACCTGATCTTTGATAAAGAAGCAAAAAATATCAAATGGAAAAAAAAGCATATTTAATAATTGGTGCTGGCATAACTGGATATCAATATGTAGAAGAATGAAAATAGACCCATATCTATCACCATGCACAAAACTCAAGTCCAAATGGATCAAAGACCTCAACATAAAGCCAGCCACACCCAACCTTATAGGAGAGAAAGTGGGAAGTATATTTGAACGCATTGGCACAAGAGGCCACTTCCTAAATACAACCCCAGCAGCACAGACACTGAGAGAAACAATTAATAACTGGGACCTCCTGAAACTGAAACGCTTCTGTAAAGCGAAGAACACAGTCAACAAGACAAAATGACAGCCAACAGAATGGGAAAAGATATTCACTAACCCTACATCAGACAGAGGTCTGATCTCCAAAATATACAAGGAACTCAAGAAATTGGCTGGCTGAGGCTCCTCACACCCACAGAGGCATCTTGCGTTGACCTTGGTGATCTGAGGTCTGGACCTCTCCTGCCGTGGATCTGCCCACAGGAGCCTGGCAGAGGCTGTGGACTACTGACTAATTCACGACCTTGCCCACTGGGTGGCTCTGAACTTGTAGTGAAGCCCATTATGCATGGCAGGAGACTTTGTTTTTGGTTTTTTGAGACAGGGTTTCCTAGTAGCTATGGAGCCAGTCTGGAGCTCACTCTGTAGACCAGGCTGCCCTTGAACTCACAGAGATCCGCCTGCTTCTGTCTCCCGAGTGCTGGGATTAAAGGTGTGCGCCAGTAGTGCCCAGTGGGCAGGAGACTTTTTAAAACTGTTCAGTTACCTTCATAGTTTCGCTTAGACTCCTCTTGTTTTGGTAGTTTACACATATAGCAAGAAATGTCATGGTTTATTTCAGTTGATTTTTCTTTATGACCAATGTTTCCTGTTGTCTTTTTACCCTATAATTTAGAAAAGCAGTAAAAAGTGCATGTTTATAATTCTAAATTACATTTTTTAAATAAAAATTTTAAAATGATTTATTTATTATGTGTAGTGTTCTTCCTGCATGTTTGCCTGCAGGCCAGAAGAGGGCACCAGATCTCATTATAGATGGTCGTGAACCATGCGAGGCATGTGGTTGCTGGGAATTCAACTCAGAACTTCTGGAAGAACAGCCAGTGCCCTTAACCTCTGAGCCATCTCTCCAATCTCTCCAGCCTCTTAAATTATATTTTTATATAATAAATATCTAAATTTTCTAAATAAATATCAGTGTTTTTTGTATATTTTAGCTACTCCCCTCCACCAGGGTTTCTTGAGGAACAATCCTGGCTATCCTGGAACTCAGGCCGGTCTTGAACTCATGGAGATCTGCCTGCCTCTGCCTCCCGAGTGCTGGGATTCTTGTTAAGACTTTCAGAACAATGCAAGACTGTGGAGCTCACATACCTTTGCTGTCCACAGTGGCACATCTGACTTTTGGGTTTCCTGGTGTCTCATATTTACAGACGGCAAACTTTTTCTGTCTGCTTGTACTGATTTTGTTGAAGAAACTATAAAATAGGTAGATTATATGTGAGAAACATTTAATGTTCAGAAGCTACGCTGATTTAGAATATGAAGTAGCCCTTAAGCGTCCAATAGAACCATCATACACACTGTAGGAGACACTGTCTAAGTGGGCAGCACATCGTAGGGTTCGCCTCTTGTCCCGTCTTTGTCTTATGCTAGGCTTCAGGTTCTGCACATCACAGAGTTAAGGGGAAGCCAGTAGGCTCTGGGATGAGGCGGCACTGCTGTTTTGTTTCTCTGGTGGTTGTGAGAGGCCAAGCTACTGCCACACCATGTCAGAGCTCCTGAGGCCTGGTGAACAAGAGCCATGGACACTGAAACGTTCATGTTGACAGCAGACACCACGGTCTTTTCTGGTAGGCATTACTCAGGATTACAGTCCAGAGTGAATGGAGGCCAAGACAGCAAACCTGGCTGCTTCTACTGCCCTAGAGGGGAGGGTTCCATGGTGCCTTCTCTGCGCAGAGCCTGAGGCTGGGAGGGGAGCAGAGCCCATGAGCACATTTGTCTTGTTACAGTAGACTGCAGGGCTGGAGCACCGGCCGGGAGAACCATGCTGAACAAAGGGAACTGGCACAGAACAGAGCTGTGTATGGAGTTCGAGAGTGAGAACCCAGTGCCTGCTCGGGCCTCAGGGACCTTGCCCTGCATGTGATTCTGACCAGTGATGGTTACACGGGGACATGTCATAAAGTGTTCAGAAGCTCCACACCGGCTTACCTATCTCCTTAGAGGGCTGCGTTTGGCAGTCCTTTTGCTCCTGAGCCCTGTGGGAACAGAGCGTTCTGGTTCTTTGGACAGTATCACAACTCTGTTTTTCTACAATCACCAAAAACATTCCAGCACCCAATCAAGCGGCTGTTAAAGATTTTCTATGTAAACTAGGAAACTATATGCGGATACTTAAAAATACTTTTTGAGCAAAAGAATCTGAAACCTACCTTTTGGGTAATCTTCCTTTTCATGTAAGTTTTTAAGTATTCGATTAGTGTAGATGTTTTTAATTTCCAGCTCGCGATCCTTCTCCTAAGAAGAGCCACAGTGTCAGTCTCCCATAAACACCTGATTTATAACCTTGACTTAAAAGAGAAAAGCACTGTGGCTATAGCAGCACTGGTACATGCTGTAATTTAAAAGTGAAGTAAAATCAAAATCTACCCACACCTAGTGACCACAGTATGGGATAGCGGAGATGAAGCTCTCATCCCACCTACTGTCGGGGCTGCGCACACAGTGGGGTAGGTAAGGCCGGTAACAGGAAGGCCACTGCTTAGCTCTAAACCCCAAAATTAATGTTTTTGAATAATGGCAAAACAAAAGCTTTCTAAGTCTTAACTTGTTGGGGGGTAAGAAAGGAACTAAGACCTTAAATGTACCTCTTGAATTATATATTGAGACAAGCCTGCTGTCTCCCAGGCCATCACCATTCCCCATGTCAGTGAAGGAAACATCACAGACCTCCGTATGTCTGAGTTGTAGAGCATAGGCTTTATACTCTTAAAAGTTTTTAACAAATTATGAGTGTTTTGCCTGCATGCATATATGAGCACCGTGTGTGAGCCTGGTACCTGCGGAAGCAACAAGAGGGGATTAGACTCTGTGGACCTGGAGTTGTAGATGGTGTGAGCTGCCATGTGGGTGCTGGACTGAACCTGGGTCCTCTGCAAGAGCAGCCAATGCTCCTAACCACTCAGGTGCTGCTCCAGTCCTTTAGTTTTTGCTCTATTTAATCATAAAATTTTATTTTGATATGTACATACATGCAAAAGAAATAATATCTTTTCTAAAATGTATGTTTTCAAAAACAATGTATTATGGTCCACTTCCTCCTTTCTGCTTTCTTATAACTTTTAGTTCAGAAATCAGAAATGCCAACAGTTATGCCCATGGAGCATAGGAGGCAGTGCTGGATCTCCTGGACCTAGTTAAGTGAACATGGTTGTAAGCCACTATGTGGGTGCTAGGAGCCATACCCAAGTCCTGTGCAAAAACAGCAATGCTCATAACTGAAGAGCCACCTCCCAGCCTTAGAGTGATTTCACCCACATGGCTTTAGGTGAAGATTTGGTATCTATGGGAACAAACACGTGATCTCACTCACACCGTTTTAGGTGAAGATTTGGTGTTTATGGGAACAAACATGTTGTTTTCTGGAAAGCTCATCTGTCTTTTCGTTTGATATTAACATAGTTTAGCAGAGAGGATTCAGGGTTGAGTGCAGTCAGAAGGAAGCAACATAAGGGACAGTCCTCCTTAGGGCTTAGAAGAGAGGTTCAAGGTCTGTATGATGGAGCTGGGCCACCCCAAGGCAGCAGGTTTGGAACACAACCCAGGGTACTTGTGTGACTGGTCAACAGAAAAAGAAAGATGGACCATAAATGACAGCACATGTCACGCATGCTGTGGGATATCCACAGTGAATATGACCCCTGCGCTCCTAGGAAATAAAATCAACTCAGGGTGAGAGGAGGCGGCAGCATCTTGCTAGGTGCTCCCTGGGGCTTGCCTGCACGCCCAGGTCATAACATCTCCCTTAGGAGCTGTGGAAAGCTGACATCCGTTGAGAGGGTTGCTTCCTTCATTGGTCTTTTGTGTTTGAAGTTCTCAGGCATGGTTTCTATGATGTGTTTTTATTATACTCAGTTACCCATGTGCTCCTAATTTATTTGTGGGAATAATACTATCTCAGCGCCACCATCAGACCTCAGCACCACCATCAGACCTCAGCGCCACCATCAGACCTCAGCGCCACCATCAGACCTTAGCTCCATCATCAGACCTCAGCTCCACCATCAGACCTCAGCGCCATCATCAGACCTCAGCGCCACCATCAGACCTCAGCGCCACCATCAGACCTCAGCTCCATCATCAGACCTCAGCGCTATCATCAGACCTCAGCTCCATCATCAGACCTCAGCACCATCATCACCACCATCATCAGACCTCAGCACCATCATCACCACCATCATCAGACCTCAGCACCATCATCACCACCATCATCAGACCTCAGCTCCACCATCAGACCTCAGCTCCATCATCAGACCTCAGCGCCACCATCAGACCTCAGCTCCATCATCAGACCTCAGCGCCATCATCAGACCTCAGCTCCATCAGCACCACCATCAGACCTCAGCGCCATCATCAGACCTCAGCGCCATCATCAGACCTCAGCGCCATCATCAGACCTCAGCTCCATCATCAGACCTCAGCGCCATCAACAGACCTCAGCTCCATCAGCCACCATCAGACCTCAGCGCCATCATCAGACCTCAGCTCCATCATCAGACCTCAGCGCCATCATCAGACCTCAGCTCCATCATCAGACCTCAGCTCCACCATCAGACCTCAGCTCCACCATCAGACCTCAGCACCATCATCAGACCTCAGCTCCATCAGCACCACCATCAGACCTCAGCGCCATCATCAGACCTCAACGCCACCATCAGACCTCAGCGCCATCATCAGACCTCAGCTCCATCATCAGACCTCAGTGCCATCATCAGACCTCAGCTCCATCATCAGACCTCAGTGCCATCATCAGACCTCAGCGCCATCATCAGACCTCAGCGCCACCATCAGACCTCAGTGCCACCATCATCAGACCTCAGCGCCACCATCAGACCTCAGCTCCATCATCAGACCTCAGTGCCATCATCAGACCTCAGCGCCATCATCAGACCTCAGCTCCATCATCAGACCTCAGCGCCATCATCAGACCTCAGCACCATCAGCACCATCATCAGACCTCAGCGCCATCATCAGACCTCAGCTCCATCATCAGACCTCAGCACCACCATCAGACCTCAGCACCATCATCAGACCTCAGCACCATCATCAGACCTCAGCGCCACCATCAGACCTCAGCGCCATCATCAGACCTCAGCGCCACCATCAGACCTCAGTGCCACCATCATCAGACCTCAGCGCCACCATCAGACCTCAGCGCCACCATCAGACCTCAGCGCCACCATCAGACCTCAGCTCCATCATCAGACCTCAGCTCCATCATCAGACCTCAGCGCCATCATCAGACCTCAGCTCCATCATCAGACCTCAGCTCCATCATCAGACCTCAGCGCCATCATCAGACCTCAGCACCATCAGCACCATCATCAGACCTCAGCGCCATCATCAGACCTCAGCTCCATCATCAGACCTCAGCACCACCATCAGACCTCAGCACCATCATCAGACCTCAGCACCATCATCAGACCTCAGCGCCACCATCAGACCTCAGCACCATCATCAGACCTCAGCGCCACCATCAGACCTCAGCACCATCAGACCTCAGCTCCATCATCAGACCTCAGCGCCACCATCAGACCTCAGCACCACCAGTGCCACCATCAGACCTCAGCTCCATCATCAGACCTCAGCACCATCATCAGACCTCAGCTCCATCATCAGACCTCAGCACCATCATCAGACCTCAGCACCACCAGTGCCACCATCAGACCTCAGCTCCATCATCAGACCTCAGCACCATCATCAGACCTCAGCACCATCATCAGACCTCAGCGCCATCATCAGACCTCAGCGCCATCATCAGACCTCAGCGCCGTCATCAGACCTCAGCACCGTCAGCACCACCATCAGACCTCAGCTCCATCATCAGACCTCAGCACCATCATCAGACCTCAGCACCATCATCAGACTCAGCGCCACCATCAGACCTCAGCGCCATCATCAGACCTCAGCACCATCAGCGCCATCATCAGACCTCAGCACCATCAGCACCACCATCAGACCTCAGCTCCATCATCAGACCTCAGCTCCATCATCAGACCTCAGCTCCATCATCAGACCTCAGCGCCACCATCAGACCTCAGCGCCACCATCAGACCTCAGCTCCATCATCAGACCTCAGCTCCATCATCAGACCTCAGCGCCACCATCAGACCTCAGCACCATCATCAGACCTCAGCACCGTCATCGGATTTATTCTCACATTTTTGCCGTTGTCTTTCAGTGTTTTCAGAGTTAGTTTGAAATTATTTAGCCGAGGTGCCCAGTCCTGTGTGGAATCACCTCATGTTCTCTAGCTGATGGTGGCACCTGCAGCTTGTTGTGTGCTTACTGCTTGTGTGTGGTAGACACAGGCAGGAGAGAGCGGGGTTCTGCTATCAGCTTCTCTGTGGAGCCCTTTACTTACTCCTCAGAGCTGTGTGTGGCCTGGATCAGGGTGGTTCTTTGGCATGAGCTTTACACCAGGGAGGGCATGCTTTATGGATTCTCTTTTGTCAACTGAGTGGCAATCACTAGCCATTGATTAGAACGATTAATTCACTGTGAACTTTTTGCCAACTGGAATGATTTATAAGGAGGAATGGCCCTTCACACCGTTGGGTTACTAGGAGTTCACACAGGAAAGGTAAAAACAGTGGCTTTTTCAAAAATGATGTTTTAAAATCACAAACAATAGTTCTATGCCCCGAGTGTGAGTTCTGTGGCCAGCCCTTGTGCTCTTTCTTCTGCACACTGTTATCTCTCTTTGGTATGTGTGAATGTGTGTGTTCTGAGACAGAATCTCACATTGTTAACTTTTTTTGGTGTGTGTAAATGTGTGTGTGTTTGTCATGGAATCTCACTAAAGAGCCCAGTTGGCATAGATCTAGCTATCTAGCCCAGGTGTGGCCTCAAACTCATAATCCTTCAGCCTCTGCCTTCCAAGTGCTGAGACTGTGTTAGTCACCACACCTGACAGTTTTCCTCTAAATATTAGTCAACGTATAGTTTGTACACTCCATATGTGTACAACTGACTGACACTTGGATGTACATGTACACACGACACAGTTGAAATACCTCTGTATGTACAAGTACACCTGACACAATGGAATGACACTGTACATGTACACACGACACAGTTGAATGACCTCTGTGTGTATATGTATCATACTTTATCCTTTAAGCTGTTGAACGCCCACCCTGATTTCACATCTTTGCGCTTGTCAGTGGTGCAGGTGTAAACACAGGTATTGGAGTGTGTTTTTTGTATGTGGACTTCATTTCCTGTAGGCGTGTATCCGTGCTGTTGCTGCTGACATAGCCCTTCTGCTTTTAGCCTTCTGAGGAGCCTTCACCACCCTCAGGCTCAGCTAACTACATTCCCACCAGCAGGTCTTTTCCCTCCGCATCCTTGGCAGCATTTTCCTGTGGTAAAAGCCTTCTGCTGGGGTGAAGCGGGATCCCATGGGAGTAAGGACATGTGTTGTCTTGATGAATAAAGATATGATCAGTTTTTATATTTTTTGTATCATTTGAATTTCTTCTTTGAAAAGTGTCTATTTAGGTTATTCTACTTATTATTTTAAATGTGTGTGCATAAGTTTATGTGTAGCACAGTGTGTGGAGCTGAGCAGATGAGAAGAGGGTAGAATCACAGCTGGGTGTCAGCTGCCATGTCTTGCTGGGGACCAGCACCAGGTCCTCTGCGTTGAGCAGTGAGCACTCCTAACTGCTGAGCCATCCTTATGTTGGGTGGCTCACAGCTGACCAGACTCCAACTTGAGAGGCTCTGATGTGCCCCTCTGACCTCCTTGGGCACTATACTTATGATTACAAACCCACACTCTCACACACAAATGTACACACAATTATAAATTAAAAACAGGTCTGGGAAGATGGCTCAGTGGTTAAGAACACTCGCTGCTCTTCCAGAGATTCCGAGTTTAGGTCCCAGCACCTACATCAGGGGCTTCACAACTGCCTGTAACTCCAGTTCCAACACCTCTTTCTAGGCTCTGTGGACACTCACATAAATATATCCACTCACAGGAACATGCATAAACACATAATTTAAAAGCAAACTAAATCTAAAAAAAATGTTTTAAAAGACTCACATTCTTAATATTTTTTACATTTTATTTATTGTTTGTGTTTGTATTTATGTCTATGTATGTATGTGTGTGTATGTATGTATATATGTATAGGCACATGCATGCCACTGTGTAGATGTTGAAGTCAGAGGACAACTTGGGAGACTCGGTTTTCTCCCTGACCACCTGGGTCCTAGGGTTCTAACTCAGGTTGTAAGGCTAAGCTAAGCAGCAAGCCCCTTTGCCATGCCAGTCCTATTTTTTGAGACAGAGTCTCACATAGCCCAGGCTGGCTCGATAGCCCAGGCTGACTTTCAGCTACTCATTCCTGTCTCCACCACATCTGGCACTGCAAGTGAAACTGCTGGCTTTGCATCTGTGAAGTTGGAGACTGCGAGCTCATGCACACCTTGTAATGCATCACCAGTGCGCTATATCTCAAGTAGGACCTTAAATAAACCTGAGGGCCATTAGACTTACTCTGAACATTACTGTGATTTGATTTCTAAGTTAAAAACATTAGAATGTTAACAGATGCACTGTTGTTTGCTGTTGCGGAGGAGCAGGGAAGACAGTCTTGTGAAGAGAGGGTGAGTTTTTCTAACCACAGTGCACAGCGGTTTGGCTGCCCACTCTCTCTCCTCCATCTGTTCACTATCGTCTGAAGAAACAACTTGAAGACATCTACATAGGTGTAGGTACTATGGTGTTTGGATAGACACATTGCGATGGTGTTTGGAAAGACGCATTGCGATGGTGTTTGGACAGACGGACACACTGTGTTGGAAGAAATACCTTAAGTTTCTGCTGCAGCTGCCGCACTTCTCCCTGCAGAGTCTTTGTTGCTGTTTGGGCTGTTAATGTCTTCCGGTTTTCTTTGGCCAACTGCCGACCAAAGGATCGATTGTTCAGCCTCAGCTGTTTTTCCAAGTTCTGAAAACAGTATATATTTCAACTACTCTGTAGCCAGCGTGGCGTCATGAAACTTGACTGCAATGAAACGAGCTACATTTATGACAGGTGCAAATTTCAACATGACTTTAGTCACTGACTCAGTGGACAAACATTAGAACAAAACAAAATGAAACATCGGCCAGCAAGTCCCAGATCTCAGGTCTAGAGAATAAATATACCTTTCTAGCCCAATACCCAGTGTTCTTTACAAACCATGGATAGTGATAAAAAAATATTCAAACACATCCTGAAGAACCAGTAAGTACAATCAGAGTCTTAACATGGGGCCCATATGCGCTGTTCTGCTGTCTTTGCAGATGGTGACCCTTGGCCCCTCTCCCTAGAGGGTCCAGCCTCAGTGCAGACCATGATGGACAGAGATCCCTAGAGAACAGACATGGAGGTTGTAATGGGTTTCATGCCACCCTCTACAGTGCTGGACTATAACTGATAAAACAGAAACCTGCTAGGCGTGGATCCCCCTCCTATACTAGCACCCCAGATGCTGACCTAGGTGTAGCAGAGATGGGCTACTCAGTGCTGTTGGTGTCCAACACCCATTCCACGGAAGACAATTTTCTCTGAAAGTAGAGAACTTTTCCAGCAGAATAATATTATTCTGTCTGTTCAGAAAATGTGAGTGAAACAACCTAATTCTTATCAAAGAAAGTGTTTGTCACCATCAAGTATCGAAGAATTAACAGTATGTCAACTCCATCTGTATTTATGTCCACAAAGGTCATGTAAACAGGCAGGACTCTGTGTGATTAGTGTCCCTTTCGGTGACATCCCCTGGCTATCCATCCATCTCCCCAGTTATTTTAATTCCATTCCTTCCCTTCTCCCCTCCCTCTCTCCATCCCTCCTTCACTTTCTCCTCTCCCCTCTTCCCTTCCCCTCCTCTCTGTTACCCTCTCTGCCATTTCCTTCCTTCTTCCCTGAGAAACATGATTTTGAAATAACTAAAACTGTTTATGTGGAAACAAGTCTATAATCTGTCAGACTGAGGAGAGACAAAAAGCAAAGACAGACAGACTGCTCTGCAAGGGGGGCAGCCTTTCAGCAGGAGCTGACCGCAGGCGTTCATTTCAAAAGGCGACTCCCACAGCACACAGAAGGCCTCTGCTTCACACTGGTACCGAGTGTGGCTGTCAGACCAGTTGTTTCCAGACACAGCCTGAGACCGGTGCTCCTCCTTCCAGCTCTGCCTCCCTCCCCCACTCGACACTAAACACAATCACTTCCGGTGAGCCGGCTCACAGCCTGTGGATTGAATTACGTGCACCCTCTCTATCAATACCGGACCTCCTGAGATACAAACCTGTATTTTTTTGTCATTTGCCTCCATTTTGGCTGTCAGAACAGTCAACCTCTGAGTCAGTTCTTCTCTTTCCGCAAGGCTCTTGTCTTCTGAAAGTTTCTGTAGGGCCTGCAAGGCATCTCTGGTCCTCAGCAGCTCACTGTCAGTCTCTCGGAGCTTCCTTGCCACTGCTCGCTCCTTCTCCTGGGATTTCCGAAGGAGCTGCCGCAGGCTCCTCACCTCATTCTGGTGTCTAACTGTGACCTGCGGCAGGCTGTCTTGTGAGCTCACGTATCTCCCGATGGCTTTTGCATGCCTGAGCTGAAGCTGCTTCAGGATTTGGTTCTCTGTAGCAGTGGCTTCCAGCTTCCGGTGTGTGTCGGCTAGCTCATTCTTCAGCTCTTTAATCTTATGAAGTCGGGCTGACAGGATGCGGTGTGTCATGGCGTCTCTTCTTTTGGTAACTGTTTGAATTTGAGAATTGAGAAATGAAGCATTCCAGGTGTGCCTTTTCTCTGTTGGGAGGTCCTTCTGGCCTGTGTGGGCAGACAATGCAGATGGTTAGCACAAGAACACCGAGGTCACACAAGTGTGGGCACCCCCCAGCACACATAAATGCCATGGACCTAGGTAGCCAAAGGAAGCTCACTCAATCTGCCTGCTGCTGGCTAGGCACTTTACACACGTGTGTCTCACTGACAACTCCTCAGTCCAGTTGCATCTATTTTGTATCTGGAGGTTTAAGTCATCCAAGGTTATATAGCCATGAAGTGACAGAGAATGGACTGAAAAACCACACCTTGTTTAAATATCTGCTATAAAAGTTATTAAAAAATCCTGCCAGGTGTGGAGGCACATTCTTGTATCCGGCTCTGAGGAAGAAGAGGCAGAAGGATCAGGAGTTCAAGGACAGCCTGCACTAAATGAGATCTCATTTCAAACAGAACACGACAGAACACAAATTTTATTCAAAACCATTGTGCTAGATAAATTTTTGTCAATGGCACAAACTAAAGTTTTTTTTTTTTTTTTGAGAGGAGGGAACCTCAATTAGGAAAATTGAGATCAGGCAAGCCTGGAGGGCATTTTTTTAGTTAGTGATTGGTGGTGAGGGCCCAGCCTGTAGACTATATAAAGGCAAATCCACAGGACCCATTCAAAGGGATGTCAGTGATGGAGGAAGGTCATTGGTTAGTTATAATAAAGAAACTGCTTGGCCCTCATAGGTTAAAACATGGGTGGGAGGAGTAAACAGACAGAATGCTGGGAGGAAGAGGAAGTGAGCTCAGAAATCGTGCAGCTCCTCTCAGAGCCAGACGTGATGAAGCAAGCCGCCAGGTCAGACATGCTGAATCTTTCCCAGTAAGACTGGTGCTACACAGTTTATTAGAGATGGGTTGATCGCGATATCAGAATAGCCAGTAAGGGCTAGAGCTAATGGGCTAAGCAGTGTTTAAAAGAATACAGTTTCCGTGTAATTATTTTGGGTATAAAGCTAGCCGGGTGGCGGCAAGCAGCCTGCTGCTCTTATTTCAACATGCCAGGAGTTTATTAGGAAAACACTCACAGGGTACAGAAGGTCTTCCGTTCTGCCATGGGGGGTGAATGGAACCTGCAGCATCTGATCTCCAACTGCCATGTGAGAGAAAGCCTGCCCCTCTTTCTGTTAAAGGAGTTACATCAGCAGACAAGAAACTCTACTTTGTTGGGCAGTGGTGGTGCACACCTTTAACCCCAGCACTCTCAGAAGGCAGAGGCAGGCAGGTCTCTGTGAGTTCGAGGCCAGCCTGGGCTACAAAGTGAGTTCCAGGACAGCCTGGGCTAACAATAAGATACTGTCTCTAAAAACAGAACAAAAGGCCACAAGGAAAAGACATCACTAAAACCCTTTGGGTGATGTTGGTTTTAAAGACTGTCAAAACCCTCACCAGACTTGAGACACTGTCTTCATGGGTGTCAGGATAAGACACTGGCATTTCATTGGCAGTTCAGACTTTGATCCTTTAGCTAAGACCAAAGGCTAAAAGCTAGCACCGAGTATCCATGCTGAGGCTGCCTGTTAACTAAAGTCAAAACCCTCCTTACTAGCAGGCTGGGAGGGTCAGCTCTACAGGGGACAAGGCTACAACTTCTTGTTATTGTATAATTATCCATAATTTATCTATTTCCCAATTCTTTCTATAAAAGTTCACCCATTGTGGTGGTTTGAAATAAAATGGTCCCAAAGGGAGTGGCACTATTAGGAGATGTGGCCTTGTTAGAGGAAGTGTGACACTGTGGGGGTGGGCTTTAATGTCTCTTTTGCTCAATCTTCCTTCAGTGTGATAATCAGTGTCAGCTGACTTCCTGTTGCCTGCAGGCCAAGATGTAGTACTCTCAGCTCCAGCACCATGTCTGCCTGCACACTACCTAGCTCCCTGTCATAATGATAAGGAATGGAACCTCTGAAACTGTAAGCAAGTCACCTCAATTAAATGTTTTCCTTATAAGAGTTGTCATGGTTATGGTGTCTTTTCACAGCAATAGAAACCCTAACTAATACAGAGGTTGGTACCAGGGACTGGGGTATTGCTGTGGTAGACCTGACCTTGTGTTTGCTTTTAGGAATTTGGACTTTGATACTTCGGGTTAGGAAAGCAATGGATGCTTTAAGCACTGGTTAATGGGCCACACAGTGGGAGCGTGGAAGACAGAGGTGCTAAAGGTTATCTGAACTGCTGGGGACTTACTCAAGAGGGTTCAGAGGAGAAGAATTTAGTATGTTGTCTAGAGATATTTTGGTGAAAACTGTGGCTGCTTTTTGCCCTTGTCCAAAGAGTCTGCCTGAGGCTAAAGTGAAGAGTTTTGGATGAATTCCATTGGCAGAAGAAATCTCAAAACAACTTAGTATAGACTCTGTCTTATGGATTATATTAGTGTTAACTCTAGTGAAGATTCACAATGAAAAGGAGCAAGCTGAATAGGGTGAATTACAAGAAGTAAATTTTGAGAAGAAAAAAGAGCAGAACAGAATGTGGAATGAAGCTAAATTCTTTGTTCAAGGAGATAAACAGATTAAGAAATGGGAAAAAAGGGAGTGGTGACCTCAGGTCAAGATCCCACCCAACTGACTTTCCAATTTGTGGAAAGCAATTAAAGAAAAGTTCAGATCTGGGTGTGGTGTTCACATCTTTAATTCCAGCACCGGGAAGGTAGAGGCTGGCAGAATTCTGAGTTTGTGGACAGTCTGGCCTACAGAGAAAATTCCAGAAAAGCCAAACTTAGGCAATGAAGGACAGAAAACTGGTGAAGATGGAATTGAATGAGGGAGCCATGTTCCAGCCCCAGCAAGCAGCAAAACGTGGCAGCTCTGGCCACGTGGTTCTGGAGTTAAGGACAGAAGAAAGGGGCTATGGAATTTGCCTCCATGACTAAGGAAAGCTGCTGAGGTCAGGCATGTGTCAGGGGCATCTCTGAATTAGGGGCCTAGAGAGCCATTGCCTGAAACTGTGAAGCTGAAGCCTGGGTTGCCTTGGAGACCCCAAGATGTTGGTGATGCAGAGCTGTGGGATCCCTGCTGAGGAGAGCTGCTAACAGGGAGTGGAACCGGCCCAAGAGAGAGAAGTGTGTTGCTGTCAACAAAGCTGAAAGGAACTGGAGATGTGGAGAATGTTTTGACAGCTATATATGGAATATTTAGGAACATACACCTGTAACTGATTGTGGGCCACTACAAGACACTAGCATTAAACAAAAACGTTACCGTGACCAGGGCTGCAGCCTGGCAGGGATGCCTGACGTTTTACCTTTAGGCTGGGGGATTTTAGAAGGGCTATACTTTCTTTTCTCCTTTTCTTTCCCCAGAGGCTGCTCTAACTCGTGTCTGTTGGTGGCTGCTTCAGAGCACTCAGAAAGAAAGTCTTCTGAATAGTCATAGTGGGAGGTCAGGCTTCTGTAGGAGCACTGAGATCTGCTGTAATCCACGCTCCCATTGGAAGCCCTGCTGTTCCGTGACAGGTCGCCAGCGCCTGGGCTACTCTTGCCTTCTGCAGACTTCCTGTTGCTTCCTAGTGCCAGGCTGGGGAAATGCTCATTTGTGTGTGCTTTTGTTGTATCAGCCAAAGACATAGTCCACAACCTAGTAGGAAAAAAGGATGCTTCAGTTTATGGATACCTGCATTAAAATGGGCCCATGCTAAAGTGTATTTTCTTTACTACATTGAGGAAGAATGTGAAACAGTACTGTTTTTTTAAAAAAATATTTATTTATTATGTATACAATATTCTGTGTGTATGCCTGAAGGCCAGAAGAGGGCACCAGACCCCATTACAGATGGTTGTGAGCCACCATGTGGTTGCTGGGAATTGAACTCAGGACCTTTGGAAGAGCAGGCAATGCTCTTAACCTCTCAGCTATCTCTCCAGCCCAAAAGTACTGTTTTTTGAGATGAGATTTCATTAATGCAGTCTTGGCTGGCCTGGAGTTTGTTATGTAGAACAGGTTCGGCATCAAAGTCATAGAGGTCTGCCTTTCTCTGCCTCCCAAGTGCTAGTATTAAAGGCTGTGCCACCATCAGGTTAAAACAATACATTATTAAAATGCATTTTCTGGAACAGTCTCAATTATGGTCTTAAATTATTTCCTACATGAAATATAGGACCTTGGGCTGGGAGGTGGTGGCACCTGCCTTTAACCCCAGTACTTGGGTGGCAGAGGCAGGCAGATCTCTGTGAGTTTGAGGCCAGTCTGGTCTATAAGAGCTAGTTCCAGGACAGACACCAAAGCTACACAGAGAAACCCTGTCCCGAAAAACAAACCAAACCAAAAACCAAACCAAAACAAACAAAACAACAACAACAACAACAAAAAGAAAATAGGACCTTGGAGTCAAACTTTGATAATATTCACAGGCAATATAAAACTATATCTGATAACAACACTGGCAACTTTTTTGATTTATTTATTTTTATGTATATGAATGTTTGTCTGTATGTATCTGAGTACCATAGGTATGCAGTACTGTGGAGGCCAGCCGAGGGGTGCTGGGAACCTGGTCCTGCTGTGGGACAATGGTCCTGTACCCTGTGAAGATTTGTCTCTTGTACTTGTTTAATAAAATGCTGGTTGGCCAATAGCCAGGCAGGAAGTATAGGTGGGACAACCAGAATAGGAGAATTCTGGGAAGAGGAATCCCGGACAAAGAGGAAGCAAGATGAGAATGACTCACTGATAAAAGGTACCAAGCCATGTGTCCAGCACAGACAAGAATTATGGGCTAATTTAAGATGTAAGCATTAGATAATAAGGAAGCCTGAGCTATTAGGCCAACCACTTTATAATTAATGTAAGCCTCTGTGTGTTTCTTTGGGGCTGAATGGCTGTAGGACCTGGTGGGAAAGAAACCTCTGTCAACATAATCCAGGCCTTCTGCAAGAACAGCAGATGCTTTTAGCTGCTGAGCCATTGCCCCTTTAAAAGGTGCGCATATGTGGTGGTCAGAGGACAACATACCAGAACTAGTTCATCTGGGCATCTTAATGTCAGGCTTGGTGGCAAGCTTCTTTATCTGTTGAGACAGCTATCTCTGACCAAGCTGGCCTCAAACTCCAATCCTCCTGCCTCAGCTTCCCCAGCACTAGGATTATAGGCATCCTCTCATGATCAGTTAGGTCTAAGTGGTTTGTTAAGTGGCTGCTGAGTGGCCTAAGAGGTGGACTCAATGTCATCCAAGGAAGAAACTTAGGACTCTTCTGGTGTGAGCTATGGACAGAATAGGGTGTCACACACAAGAAGAGTCCCCAACAGATACATTCAGAACAACTTGAGCTGGAACACAGAGGCTCAACACTTCTTTATGAGGCTCTGTACTAAGAAGGATCAGGCTACTTGAAGCTCTTGCATAGTAGCCTACCTCATCAGTAGAATGAAACAAACCAATCCATCGCAGGCGTCTTTAAAAGCATGTCTTTTTCATTCAGTTCTCAATTCTGTTTTTATCAAGAAAGCAAAAGAGATATCATTAACTTGTGTAGGATCCTTTGCAACAGGAATGCAACATTCTCTACTGGGAGCTTTGTATTCCCTGAGTTGGTTTCTGCCATTTGTTGCATATGCTTAATGCATTAAACCTTCTCCTTGGTTGATGGAGCATACTATGTGATTCATATTTTCCCTCAAATTATCTTAGACATATGACCTGACTAGTAATACCAGCATTTTGTTTAACTGTTGTTTTTATGATGCACAGACCATGTATACATCAATAATCCTCACTGCATAGAAGGTCAAAGGGGAGGTGACCATCCAAGCTGTGCAGTTCAGGCCTGGGTCCTTCTCTGGCTTCACAATGTGGACAGCGAATAGAACTTTACATAATGGCAGCACAAAGCGTTCTTTCCAGGGAGCTCAGAAGACAACATGTAGGACTCAGTTCTGTCCTTCCATGGTGGAGGATGGGAATCAAGTTCAGGCTCGCACAGCAAGTGCTTTGCCCACTGAGCCATCCCTCTTGCTGCTCTGTCCTTTTAAAGTCAAGCATTTGTGTGTGTGTGTGTATGTGTGTGTGCTCTCACATGTGAGTACAGGTATGAAGGTGAGAAGACACTTGTGTGTACATGGATCATCCCTTTATTTGTCTGAGCCTTGGTAGAGGTAAGAACTCTCTATCGTTGGCTGCTTTGCTTTTATGAACTTCACTTTGAACCCCAAAATCTCTCTCTGGGTTTTTATTACTCATGCTACAAGCTCTCATCCATGGAAGAGGGATTCTGGGACAAACAAGGGCAGTCAAGGGCACTGCTGGTACGTCAAGTAAAAGGTGCCCCTTCCCCTGCATCTGTTTTATCAGGAGACACTGCTGGAAAATCTCCACTTCACTGAGAAGTCTTGAAGATAGGAGCCCCGTCTCATCCCTGTGTAACTTCAGGCCTAGCGCTCTGCTGCCACAGCCAGCACTTTACAGCCTGAATGATGCTGCTGTCCCTGCTCCCACCTGCCCTGTGCCAAGCAGAGCTGAGGGCCTTGTGGCATGAGCTTACCCATTCAGGAGGTGGTCCTGTGAGATGGCTGTTATCCACTCTATAGATGAAGTGGGGGCTCAGAAAGGATAAATAACTTGTCCAAAGTCAGTTTGTAAAGGGGACAACTGAGTTTTGAACCCAGGTCTGTTCCTTTAGAGTTCTCTTTAACACTGACCCAAAACACACATAATCTTTAATATATACAATCAATAGGCCAACTTTTTTTGCTTAATAAAGCTACACACACACACACGCACACACACACACACACAAAATAAAAGACATTTCCACATGTTTGGATGCAATTAAAAATTGTACGTTTTTGGCTGGTGTGGTGGCACAGACCTTTAACCTCAATACTTCAGAGGCAGATCTCTGAATTGAGGCCAGCCTGGTTTGCATGGCCAATTCCTGGCCAGTCAAGGCTATATAATGAGACTTTTATCTCAAATATTTGTGAATGTAGTGTGTGTGGTGCCTGCATGTGCTGTGTGCAGTGTTAGGTGGGTGTAGTATGTATGTGTAATGTATGCACATGTGGTGTGTTTGGGATGTATGCATATGTGAGGAATGCCAGTGCACATGTGTTAAAGCCACATGGGGTGGCTTGTTCTGTCATTCACTGCCTTCTTCCTTAGAGACAGATTCTCTCACTGAACCTGGGGTAGGCCGGTGGCCAGCAAGCCCTTCCAGCCTTCCAAAAAGCTTGGAGGACAAGGGTGTTTTAGGCACTGCTGTATTGAGCAAACACTCACTCTTCATAAATGCATAGCCAGTTGTTCCAGCACAACTCCCCCTTCTTCTCCCTTGAGACAAGGTTCTGGGACTTGATGTGTAGACCAGGCTGGCCTTGAACTTACAATGATCTGCTTGCCTCTGCCTCTTGAGTGCTGGAATTGAAGGTGTGTGCTGCCATGCCTGGTACCATGCTTTGAAAATCGATTTCCCACAGAATTTTCACTTTTTTCAAAACTCAGCTATTCACATGTAGATGTTTGTGGCTGTCCCTTTCCCGCTGACCAGCACATAGTCACAGTGTAAGCTGCAGCTTTATCTTGAAGTAAGGCGCGTTAATCCTCCAACCCTATCTTCATCTTCAAGGTTATTCTGCTGATTTTGTCCTCTGAATTTCCATATGAATTTCTAAATTGGTTTGTCAATGCCTAGAAAATGGTCTAATAAAATAGAGATTGTGTATAATCTGTAAATAAATTCGGGAACCTTCCACCATGATAATCCAATCCAGCACACTGTACATCTTCTTAGGTTGTCTTGGGTTTCTTTTGGCACTGTCCTACAGGTTGCAGTCTGAAAGTCATGAATTTTGCTAGGTCCATTCATAGTTTCATACACTTTATAGGAGCTAGCATGGTTGCACTGACTGACCATGTTCCCTGTCGGTGTACAGACTGCCACTGAGCTCCAATATTGATCTTGTCTCATGCAACCTTGTTTGGCCTGCTCACTCGTTCTTCTATTTTGTAGATCTTCCCATACTTAAAAAAACCTGAATTTATTTATGTGTATAGGTATTTTGCCTGCACATATGTATGCATGTCACCTGAGTACGGTGCCTGCACAGGTCAGCACAGGGTACTGACTCTCACAGAGCTGGCGCTATACATGGTTTTGAGCCGACATGTGGGTGCTGGGAGAGCACCCTGTTTCAACACTGAGCTGTGTCTCCAGCTCCCAGCCTCTCATACTTTCTCGTTCTCCATGGGTGACTATGTAGCCTGTGCATAAAGAAAGTTGACTTCTTTCACTGTATGGATAATTATTTCTTTTTCTTGCTTGATTGCACTAGACAGAACCTCTGAGGATGGCGAGACTGGATGTCTTGTCTTGTTTTGGGTTTTAGGAGGAAAACATCCAATCTCTCACATTAGATATTATATCAGCTATTTAAAAACAGATGTCCTTTATCCAAGGGTGAGTGTTCCCTTCTAGTCACTGTTTGCTTAATGAACTAAGGGAGTGCAGGTGGAAAGGAGAAATGACAGTGGGGAGGGAGTGAGCAGCCAGCACAGCCGAGTGGTCCAGCACTTACCTGGTGGGGGCCTGAGGAAGGCCCAGAAACTATCCACTGGATCGTGGCAGTGGGCATC